TTTTTTTCTTCACATATCTATAATCTTGAGATTTTTGTCTGGTTGGTTGGTTGGTCAGTTGATTATAGTTGGCTGGTTTGTTAGGCAACTGGTTGGCTAGTTAGTTGGTTGGTTTGTTATTGGTTAGTTGGCCATTTGGTTGGTGAGTAGTTGGTTGGTTGGGTGGGTGGGTGGGTGATTGGGTAGGTAGGTAGGTTTTCTTGCTTGAATTCCTCTTTTTCTTCCTGGTTTTTGATCTAATCTTTTGGAAATGTCATTGACTTAATCCTTCAAAGAGCAAACCACATTTTGACTGTTAGCTTTCATGTATGATTTCTCATTCATGGAAACACTTTCCTTTACTGTGGATACCATAACTTCTCCCATATATCCAAGAGTATCAACTGCAGAGTATCTCTACTTCCTCTTTTGTATACTGGCTGTCCTTTTCAAACTTCTGGTGACCTCCACCTGCCCATTTATCTACACAATAACTGAAAAGTATGACTGAAAGAAGTAAACTACAAGAACACAGTGGATAGTGCATCTGTACACAGATGAGACTTACCAAATGTCATATCATTGTGGGAATGCCCCCCCCAAAAAGACAAGAGATGGAGAGTAATGGGGTATTCCACTGTCGGGAGAAAACTTTTCCATGCCTTGCTTTCAGAAGACCCCTAATGCTGAGTGAGATATAAATGGGCAGTGCTTGCTGTCCAGAACCCTACTTTTCACTCTCATCATGCTCCTTCCCAAGCCCAAGGTCACCTTATGTAAATATGGAAAGTTATCTCCAGTCCCTCCTCAGAGGAGCAGCAGGAACATGATGCTCAGCTGTCCTTTGTGGGTTTGAGAATCTCACAGCTCAGTATACAAAATTTCAACTGGTTCCCAAACTTCTCTTCATTCTGTCATTGCTATCTGAAACACCTGGGCCTCCAACTCAGAATCTCCTGCTGGTGCTTCAGAGTGACTGGGGGTCTGTTTTGTCCTTTCTGACACCTTCCCTTCAACGCTGCAGTTTTCTGTGCTTTCCATAGTGTGACACTTTTTTCTTATTCCAAATATAGCCATCGTTGGGGGCATTACTTTGCCATTCTCTTCAGCCCCTTTTCAGTTTCTTCTGGCCTTAGACTCTTACACTAAGGAGTCCTCACTCGATTCACGTAACTCCTGTGCTGTGGTACATATTCTTAATATTTTCTGAGAAGTTCTATTTATTTGAACCCCCTGCTTTGTGCCATGAAGTCTGTTAAAAATTAATGTGCTCTCCGTCTTCTTATGAATCTCATTTGTGCTACTGTCTCCACCATATTTTCAGTCACCTAGACTCACATTAACATTAATATCTGCCATCTCTTTACACTTCCTTTAGCTACTATCAGTGGGCTCCGCCTACATCTCTACCTTTATTCCAGATGCCATCAGTGGGCTCTGCCTTCATCTCTACCTTTATTCCAAATGCCATCAGTGGGCTCCGCCTACATCTCTACCTTCCCTCCAGATGCCATCAGTGGGCTCTGCCTACATCTCTCTACCTTCACTCCAGATGCCATCAGTGGGCTCCGCCTACATCTCTACTTTTATTCCAAATGCCATCAGTGGGCTCCGCCTACATCTCTACCTTTATTCCAAATGTCATCAGTGGGCTCTGCCTTCATCTCTACCTTTATTCCAAATGCCATCAGTGGGCTCCGCCTACATCTCTACCTTTATTCCAAAGGCCATCAGTGGGCTCCGCCTACATCTCTACCTTTATTCCAGATGTCATCAGTGGGCTCTGCCTTCATCTCTACCTTTATTCCAAATGCCATCAGTGGGCTCTGCCTACATCTCTACCTTCCCTCCAGATGCCATCAGTGGGCTCCGCCTACATCTCTACCTTCCCTCCAGATGCCATCAGTGGGCTCTGCCTACATCTCTACCTTCCCTCCAGATGCCATCAGTGGGCTCCGCCTACATCTCTACCTTCCCTCCAGATGCCATCAGTGGGCTCCGCCTACATCTCTACCTTTCCTCCAGATGCCCTCAGTGGGCTCCGCCTACATCTCTACCTTCCCTCCAGATGCCATCAGTGGTCTCTGCCTACATCTCTCTACCTTCACTCCAGATGCCATCAGTGGGCTCCACCTACATCTCTCTACCTTCACTCCAGATGCCATCAGTGGGCTCTGCCTTCATCTCTACTTTTATTCCAAATGCCATCAGTGGGCTCTGCTACATCTCACCTTCCTCAGATGCCATCAGTGGCTCGCCTCTCTACCTTCCAAATGCCATCAATGGGCTCCGCCTACATCTCTACCTTTATTCCAAATGCCATCAGTGGGCTCCGCCTTCATCTCTACCTTCATTCCAGATGCCATCAGTGGCTCCGCCTACATCTCTACCTTTCCTCCAGATGCCCTCAGTGGCTCCGCCTACATCTCTACCTTCCTCCAGATGCCCTCAGTGGGCTCCGCCTACATCTCTACCTTCCCTCCAGATGCCATCAGTGGGCTCTGCCTACATCTCTACCTTCCCTCCAGATGCCATCAGTGGGCTCTGCCTACATCTCTACCTTTATTCCAAATGCCATCAGTGGGCTCCGCCTACATCTCTACCTTTATTCCAAATGCCATCAGTGGGCTCCGCCTACATCTCTACCTTCACTCCAGATGCCATCAGTGGGCTCTGCCTTCATCTCTACTTTTATTCCAAATGCCATCAGTGGGCTCTGCCTTCATCTCTACTTTTATTCCAAATGCCATCAATGGGCTCCGCCTACATCTCTACCTTTATTCCAAATGCCATCAGTGGGCTCCGCCTACATCTCTACCTTTATTCCAAATGCCATCAGTGGGCTCCGCCTACATCTCTACCTTTATTCCAAATGCCATCAGTGGGCTCCGCCTATCTCTACCTTCCCTCCAGATGCCATCAGTGGGCTCTGCCTACATCTCTACCTTCCCTCCAGATGCCATCAGTGGGCTCCGCCTACATCTCTACCTTCCTTCCAGATGCCATCAGTGGGCTCCGCCTACATCTCTACCTTTATTCCAAATGCCATCAGTGGGCTCCGCCTACATCTCTACCTTTATTCCAAATGCCATCAGTGGGCTCCGCCTACATCTCTACCTTTCTTTCTTTCCCTGAAGTAGATTCCCAATTGACTCAAGCCTCTGTACCTAATGAAGATTGTCCTTAAGACTCCCAGTTTTGTTAATTGATAACGCTGTATGATTAAAATGTTATGCAGGTTAGGAAAATGTAGTTATCTCTAAATTTCAAGAGAATTCTAGCAAACAAAATCCCTAGTCACAACCTAAACATTCTAGGTAATTACTGGAAAGTGAAAGGACGGGCTTGGACCACTGTGTGATGGCTGCCTGCTTTTGTCATCTACTCTTCAGTTTTTTCACTCACTTTTAAAACTGCTCTTCATTTTCTCCTTTAGATTTTTTTTTATTTTTGTGTGATGTGTATATACACATGTGTGGTGCATGTACATATGTGTGGTGGTGTACATACCAGTGCACGCACATGTGTAGGCCAGAAGAATGTATAATCTGGCTTAGTCTATCAATCTTGATCTCGGTTATTTTATTTAGAGTTTCCTGTATGCATAGAATGCATATTGCTCAAATCCACGTCACATTTTTCCTCCCCTTCAATTCTTCCTCTTGCCTGACCACAACTTCCCAGCAGTTATTCATGTGCTTTTTTTGTTGTTGTTTAACCCAGATTCCACTTAGTACTGCTGGTATGGATTGTGGGCCTATCCACTGGGGCATGGATTGCTCCTCTGGAGCTGCGGTCCTGAACAAAACTGACTCCCTAAAATTAAAAAAAAATGGCAGCAAATACTGATGAGGATGTCGGGAAAGGGGACCAATTGTTACAATTGGTGAAGCGTTATGGAAATAGATATGAAGAATCCTCAAAGTTAAAAGTTGATCTCGCATATGACCCAGCTATGCCTCTCTTTGGCATAGACTGAAAGGATTCTGTACCCTGCTGCAGACATACTTTCTCTGCCATGTCTTTCTGTTCACAAGGGCCAGTAAATAGAAGCTGTCTGGGTGTCCTTCAACTGATGAATGCATAATGGATATTGTTGAGCTGTAAAGAAATGTGAAATGAGTTAGGATCTCTCACTAAACCTGACACATGACGTTTTGGCTGGTCTGGCCAGCCAGTGAGCTCCCAGGGCCTGACTATTACTTCAAATGCTGGGGTACACTTACACATGACCATGCTCGTCTTTGAAGGGGATCCTGAGGACTCGAACTTTTGTCCTTTGCTTTCACAACAAATGCTAAGCCACCTCCTCATCCCTTCTTTACCTTTTTTTTAAAGGCTTCTAGTCTTCAGTTCTCTCTTAACTGCAAAGATCAGAAACACTGCACAGAAAAATCATAGAGATGATAAAAATTCTATCTCCAAATCATTTAAAAACAATAATTTAAATTATATAAAGAGATAATTTTGCCTTAAAATGTTTTCCAAATCACTATTTTAATCAAAAAGTCTTTTGGAATTTATCTGTAGTACTGCTTTTGGGAGACTGAGGCATGGATTTCAACAAATCTGATACCTACCTGTGCCACAGTGTGAGACCTTGTTTCAAAAAAAAAAAAAAAAAGAAGTTACCGTTAACAAAGACTTGTATGTGGGGAGTAAAAGATGAAATCTATTGCAATGTCTTCCATAATCACCACTGCTTCTTGTGACCAGGAGACTTCATCATGCTAACAGGACGGTATTGCATTAAATCTGACAACTTCCCTATAACGTCAGCTTTATTCCCGGGGCTTAGAGTCAAGAGAGTGACAACGAGCAGCAGGCACAAGGCCCAATGAGGAGTGATCAAGGCAAAAGGGAGTGAGCTTTGGAGCCTGGGGTGGCTGCACCACAGCGGTCATGCTCTCTGGGTACCAGAAGCATATACTCCAGAGGCATCCTCCGAGCCAAGGCATGAAGAACGTTGTGGCATGTTAGCATGCTTCCCAGCTCTCTTTTCATTTTGTTTTCTTCTGCAGTTGTCGGGAACGGTTGTGCAGCCTTGTCTGTGGCAATAGCCGGCTTCCTAGAAATACACAGAAAACTCACCCCGGAGCAGTCTCCTTCAGGCAAAGCTTTCTCGGTTTCCTCCCTGTCCTGTGGCTCTCTGGTTCCTCAGTATGTGTTGCTTGGAGTGTCTGAAGCCCTGGTAAACCCAGCGGGTGAGTAACGCTGTGATCCGGCGCTTTGAGAGGAGTATGCCCCTATGCCCCACATTCCCCGCGACGCTTTCAGTAAGTCTGTGTTCACCCGCATTGAAAACAACAACGCGATTTTCTTCATTCCACTATCTATAACCAACTGTTAACTCTATTAGGGTATAGATAAAAGGGCTCGCTAACCTGATTAGAGACAAGACCATCTGGTCAGAAAGAAATGGGCAGAAATAAGCCTGAAAGACAAGTAATAACTGCCTGTGGCACCACTGAGTTAAATCCACCCTCCACCCTCCACCCTCCCACGTCCCTCTAACTCAAAGGCACTCACAGGTGCGCCCGTAACCTTCCAAAAGTGGTGCATGGACTTTGAGAGTGTATAAACATGCAAATGAGATGAAAAGTTGATGCAATTTACCTAATAACTCTATGTCTTCAAATTAAATTACCCTAGATTAAGTGTAATCACCGGAATTTTATAAGACATGTTCAAGTTATGTTTATTAAATATCTGAAGTTTCTAGATTATCTATAATGCTTATATTGATTAGATGAGCCACTTTATACTGTATCACAAAATTTTGAGAACTTCCTGCAGTGTTGTCATGTGTGTGTTTGTGTGTATACACACGTATCAGAATAACCTAGCAAGCATATCCTGGGTTTTGAAGCTCTTCATGGTTTCCTGAAATGGGATAGCTACGTGTAACTCAACCCACATTTTATATGATTAACTAAATAAAATAGATTTGTTGCTAGTTTCCAAGTAAGAGTATTTTACCATGTGTATTATGCTTGCAGTGCCTTTAGGGCCCAGAAGAGGGCATCTGATCCCCTAGAACCAGAGTTACAAATAGCCATGTGAACCACCTTGTGGGTGCAGAAATCTAACCTGGGCCTCCTAGAAAAACAGCTAGTGCTCTTAACGATTGCATTGAGCCATCTTTCCAGCCCCTTTAACTGTCTTCGTACATCCAGTGTCTCCTGTTTTCCATAACCTTTGCACAATCATCCTAAATGAAAATTCTTATTATTTCATTTGTGTCTAAAATATTTAGTCTATTATAGTCTGAGGTGTTACTTCAAACTTCCTTATGTAAACATTTAATAAATTCATGTTCACATACACGGGGTGTACATGCATGAAGCTAGAGCAATTATTTTTAAAGCTGAAGTAAGTTAATGAAATTTGTCTAATCATAGTCACAAATGTTCACATTCTCTCTCATTCTGTTGAAGCATCTAGTTCACAGGTTCCATATGAGTCGGTTATGGGGGTCTGTGATGGCAAGGCCATTGGGTAGCACAGGAGAGAACAAATGTGTGGACAAATGTTGCCACACAGGCGTTTGTCATCACCCCGATGTCGTTTGTAGGAAGTTCTTGAAAGTAGGTCAAATACTCTGTGCTTCCTGTAGAAGAATGGTTTACATGGAGGAAATTCCTAGCCTGCTCATCAAGGGGATTCAACATTGAGGAGCCAAAGAAATCATTAAAACAATGAACCATTAAAAAACAATGGTTTGTGTTACGTAATCACTAATCTAACACTTAAAATACCTATCAGGGAACTACTGAGTTCAAGTAAGTACGCTTTTATCTAATGTAGTGTCTGTGGACAACAGACCACAGCCTTCCACCTGCTACATGAGGGTCTTTGGAGAGTCATTTAATCTCTAAGATTCAACTTTCTGATATTAATAATGTGAAAAATAATATCATTCCTTACATCGTAAGGGGAGAATGGGAATGGAGGTCTTTCTTTGAAAACCAACTGGCATAAAGTGTGAGTGACTATGTCGATATGCAAAATCAAGTAATGTCAGGGACACAGTGTATCAAGACCCTTCAGCTTTCTGATCTTAAACCTGGACTGACCTGAGTTCAGACCCTATTATGCGACTGACTACCCATGCCCGGCAGCGCTGGGCTTCTCTCACCATCTAGAGATGTTATTCCAAGAACCTAAGGAAGTAGTACATTATGCAAAGCAAAACACTGAGTTTTGCAATCAGCAGCATCATGTGAGTTCATTTTCCTCACTGCTGTTTGCGTGAAATTAGTAGTGTCATACTCAGGACTCAGCACAGTTCCCTGTGTCACAAGCAAATTAAACACCTAATGATAGGAGCAGAACTGCCTTTCTCCCACAAGCCACCCAGATCCCACTCTGGTCCTTCCATGTTGCCTGCAACCCCACAGCAAGAATTAGTCTGTTGGAAATATGACTTAATTCTGGCCACACCTGTTTCAAGAGCCCTGAACGTATACCCCCTCCTCCTGCCATATTGGCCCATTCTCTCTCTCCATTATTTTTATTTTATTCTATTTGTATGATTGCCGGCCTTCATGTATATCTGCACATCATAATGTGTGTCTGGTGTCCCCAGGAAGCCAGAAGAGGGCATGAGAGTCAGATCTCCTTGGACTGACAGACTGTTGTGAGCTGCCATGTGGGTACTAGAACTCTACACAGGTCATCTGAAAGAGCAGCCAGTGTCCTTAACCATTGGGCCATCTCTCCAGTGCCAAGTCCATTCTCTTGTGAACAGCTATGGTGGTTTTTCCTAAACATCCATACCAGCATCCTGGGAGTACCATTTCCCAGTAGACATAGAGGTAAACAGTCTCACTCCTTGCCATGACTTGGCATCTGTGTAGTGTTCCCACTACATGTTATCAAATCCTGACCCTTCACCACTCGCTACAAGTCTATATGTTTCTAGATCAGCCAGTGTGACTCCGTTTCTGAGACCTGTGAATTGACTTTGTTTTCACAATACCTTTCCCTGTTTTGAAATGATAGCTTCTTCTCATTGGGTGTTCTCAAAAGTCATCCACTCAGAGAAACCATTCTTACTACTTTTATTTGTTACTTCCCATCCTATCTCTATCATAGCCTCCCTTATCCTGCTCCCTGCCTTACAAAAATCTTGATTTGCCTTCTGTGCTGCCTGCTGCTTGGCAGAAGAATACATGTTCCCTCAGTCAAGAGCTTTTGTCCCTGTATTTTGTCCTCATAGTCCTGTGAGTTTGGTCTTCCAGAAAGATGTGTATACACAGGATGCTATAAACAGTGTATTATTATTAACAGTGTATTGATTAAATAAATGAATGAGGGAAACCAACTATTTTTATGTCCTGGGGGGATGACAGTGGACAAGAGAGGTATAGTGACTCATTCCAAAGAAAACCAGATTGGTCTTCTGGCCTGAATGTGGTACACTGGAGATGTGCTGCCAGTCCTGCTGTGGAAAAGAAAACTTTCAAACCAGGCATAACTGGAGCAGTATCTTCTCCAACTGTTCATAGGCCTAGAAGTTTTAGCCTTACCACAAATAACAAAAACACAAGAAAAAGTCAAGACGAAAATCTGTCAAAACCTTGTCATTGGGGAACTTACAGCTTTTTAGTTGTTGAGGAGTATAGAGAAAGTAGGAAAGCTAGAAGGTGGGAGAGGTGTGTATAGGTGATTACAGCATGGAGGCAGCCTACTAGGCTGGGTCAAGGTCACGTTAATAGATCTTATAGTTTTGTCTCTGTTTCAGTTGTTCAGCTCTGGCATTGTGGTACAAACCAAGCTGTAGACAGTGTATAATGGAGTGTATGGTCATGCTCTAGTACAGTCTCATGCACATAGGTGCTAGCCTGGTCACTTTTACACCACAGTTGTAGATGGGCTCAAGATATCGTGACTACAGTGTAAACGGATTGAAAATTAAGGTGTCATGGGAGACGTCAGAGGTAAATATGCAGAGAAACCAAGATTTGAATGAATAGAAGGATGGGCTACACGACAGTAAAGGTGCTGAGACACTGTAGACAGAGAGGGTGAGAAGAATTCATCATTTTGAGAACATGACTGGCAGGTAGCAGCAAGACAAGTAGAGGGTAATGTGATCTCTCGAGATTCCGGGCTGAAATCTCCAGCAATAAGGACGGAACGGTGCTCTACGGGTCCAGGGTTGTCAGTTCCATTTCTGGAATTGGGCTCCTTCACATGTTCTAAACCGCTTCTCATCCAACATAATAAACACATTTTCAATTGTTCAAGAACAACTGGAGTAAAAAAAAAATCTTTCCAGCAACGAATTCCCCATCACAGGTGCCTCAGGAAGGTGATTGCGCCTCCATATGCTACAAACTCGGCACATGCGGCAAGTGGCACCCTCACAGACCATAGCCTGCTGCTCCCTGGAGTCCCGTTTTAAGCTCTCGGTGGCAAAAAGACGGGTTTTCACAGATACTTTGAAGTTTTTTTTCTTTACTGTCTCCACAGTACAGTAGTTATTTTAGCGTAGTGGCTGACTTGATGATAATATCTGCACCATAATGGGCTACGAGAAGCATCCTGGAGCCTGAAAGCACAGGTTGATGATCACTAAAGTTGAGCAAGATCAGAACATGCAATTAGGCACCGGAGATTTGGAGATCTGGAGGCTTGAAAAGCCAAGTCCTATAAAAGGGAATTGGAGGCTTTGGAAAAAATGACTAAAATGACACCAAAGAAAGATTAACCAGCAAGCAGATAGCTGGCAAAGTGTATTCATGAATTATACACTGCACCAGAAGTTCTAGCAAGAGAAAAGCATGGGATTAATAATTAAGTAGTAGAGTAATCATGGTCTCATGCATTGCCCTTCTTCCCAGGGAAAGAAATCAGCCCACTTATTCTTCCCGCCCATTATTTGTCTCTGTGTATTTATGGCGAGCAGGATTCCTGAGCCAAATCCATTGGAACAAGAATCAAATCTTCCCAGAGCCTATTACACGCACATGAACGTCCCTGAAAGCAGCAGAGGCTTGACTTCAGGGTCCTGTTGGTGATTTCTACTGTCCAGAGGAACTGCAGAGCCTGGCCACCAATATCAGATGCCTTTGTTTGCAGTATGTGACTTGCTGCCATCGTTGTCCTCATCCACCGCCAGTGTTTATTCAATTGAGAACCTGTGAAGTGCCGTGCACTCCTCGGTCAGCACTTCCAGAGCCTAAAATCAGAAAGGGGACACCTCTACCCATCTTCAGCCCAGCTCTCAGCAGCCAAATAATTCAACCACTCAGAATTAAGATAATTCATGTTACTTTATGCATTTATTTGCTGAGTAAAAACAATAGGCAAAGTAAGATGAACCCCGTGCATCCATCTTCCAGATGCAACGAAGTGTAACTCAGGGTAAAATGTGTCCCATCTGCTGTCATCTCTGTCCTTCTCTCTCCCTGTTACATAATTTTGAAACAACTCTCAGGTACCATTCTATAATAAATATCAAATGTTTCGAAAGGAATGGTTTAATAGGATATGCTAGTGTGACATAAACGTAATGGCACGTACTTACTCCAATCTATTTCTAATCTCAGAAAAGATGACTTCCTGGTGGTTGTCACCGTCATGACTGGGGAAATAGTTAATTGTTTCAAGTAGCCAATGCTTACGCTCTTCCCTCTTTCTAAATACCTCCCCTTTAATGGGGTGTGCTAGTTTCCTTTCTGTTGTTGTGATAAAACACTCTGACCAAAACCAACTCCAATGAGAAGGTATCTTTTGGCTTACAGCCCATCATGCGGGGAATCATAGCAGTAACTCAAGGCAAATACATAAAAAGGCAGGAACCATGGAGGAATGTTGCCTGCCAGCTCAACCCTGGCTGGGTTATGCTTGCCAGCTTTCTTACACAGCCCAGAACCACCTGTTTAGGGATGGTTCCACCAACAGTGTTCAGCGTCTTCCTATATCAATTAATAATACATTAATTGATCATTTATAATTAATTAATTAATAATCTGGTTTTGGCAACTCTTCACTTGAGGTTCCTCCTCTAGGATGACTTTAGTCTGTGCTAAGTTGGCAATTTAGGCTAACCAAGGCATGGACAATGTATACAAAGGGTTTCCTACAGTGCCTCGCACGGGTAGGATAAACACTGTTTAAGACAGCTAACCATAACACAAAAACTCACAGTTGGTCCAAGTGCAGAGAACAAGAGCAGCCAGCCACAAATGAGACATCTATATCATCCCCCCATCCCAAGGCCCAGAGACCACTGCTGAAGCAGAGGTGGGAAGATGATAAGAGCAAGAGTTGGTGAGGACCAGAGGGAAAGCATCTTCTAGACACGGCGGGACCCGTGCACTCATGAACTCACAGCAGCTGTGGGTGCCTGCACAAGACCACACCAGCCAGCTTTACAACATTGAGTGGGAAGGGATTCATAAGTCTAAGGTCCCACCCCTCACTGAGAATGGCTCCCAGGGGATGGAGACTCAGTCCTTTTTAAAGGTGTGGCTCCTGGTGGGTCAACATGATCTGAGGGATGGCTCCACATGCAGGAGATGTGGGTCATACAAACTAGAGTCCATGAGTTATACCAAAAAACAACAACAAGAAGGAAGCCATGCTGAGGGCTGGGAGGGTAAGTGGGGTAGCTCTGGAAGGAGCTATGGGAAGAAGTTGAGGGTGAATATGATCGAAATGCATTACATGAAACTCTCATAGAATCAATAAAAATATTAAAAAGAAAAATAAATAAAGGTAGCCAGACTTATTCAGTACAGGCAAATTAACATTAAACTTGGCACTTCATAGATAGCACATTAAATATAATCACACCTCTCTGTGTGTGAGTAATGACAATATCCCCATTTCAAACAGGAAAATGTTGAAACTTATATTAATAAAGTCACATATGGTCACGGGGCCAATAAATGGTTGTCATGAGATTTTTAGAGCATTCTTGTGTAACTCCAGAATCCCTGTGAAATTTTTCTATGATAAATTCAAGTTTTCCACAGACCATGGAATTATGACAGAAACGATATCCAGAAAAGCTCAAGCCTTGATACAGAGGCATCAGAAATATTCAAATACGGGTGAAATGTGGTGAATCCATCACAGCACTCACCTGCAGGTCCTCCTGGCAGCTGTATGAGGCTGCACGCTGTTGTATTTTATTCCTTGAAGCTGACTGTAAATTGCATCATAACCTACCTGGGCACTAACCTTAACAAGGCCCAACCCGTAGTTTGCTCATTGGTGAATTTGATGCATGATCAACATTCTTCAGGATACGATGTATAAAAATGATGAAGTGAAGTCCTAAATTCTGGCCTCTTCTTGTTTTCCCCAGTCTCTGCAGTGATACACAGATTCATTCCAAGCACATTCAGAGGACCGTCCATGAATTTTTTGTCACTGTCCCATGGATTTGCCTGTTTCTCGGGGGCACTGCTGGTGGAGTTGGTTTATCTCGTCTCAAAAGGTAAGAATTCACTCATCATATACTTGTACACATTGAACTGATGACTGGGGAGCTGGGAGGCAAAACCATAGGAGAGGGCCTTGAAAGCATAGTCTTTTTTTTTTAATTGATCCACTTTTGCAATTAAGATAGAATTAAGATAGGAAGTAGACTCCTGCTGTATTCATTAATTTCTGGGAATTGTTTTTCTTTTGATAGGAGTAGGTAATTACAGAATGTCACTTCCCATGAGACAGTGCAGGTGTCTTTTGAAAGTGCGTTTTAGAGTGAACTGGTCATCATATTCGAATTAGGTCTTGTGATGAGGCTGTGTTCAGTAATGGCTGGTAGATATCCAAGACAACGAGGAAAAGAGTCAGCACATACATACACATGGGGCTGCACTGTACTCCATGGCCTACTTTACTCTCAATTGGCCCCGAATGTTGTCTGTACAACTGAGGAGAAATCCTAAGGGAGCTAACAAATGATCTGGAGATTTTTCCAAGTAGAGATTTTGAACAGAGAAATAAGAAACAGGAAGAGTTGAGATGCAAACGCTAAAATACTAATCTTAAGTTGGCTTGCGAATGGAAAATACGGGCATCATGGAAGTCATGATTAATGGCCACAGGGACGTGCTTTTGACTGTATCTTTAAATCAAAAAATGTTATTTTTAAATGCTACTATATCTTAAATTTTATCTTACTTGGCTTTTGCTTATTTTAAGGAACATACAGTAAACTTATTCTTCTCTACTTTCAAAAATATTTGTGGTTGTACATTTAAAATAATATAAAGAAAGAGATGATTTGTATTTTCTTAAACAAACATTCAGTTTACCTGCTTTCAAACTCTGAAGAAAAGAGCTCTTCAGCAACAAATAAAATACAAAGTTCAAAAAATACTTAGCAAGACTCCACTATGTTCCAGGCACTGCATGGAGTATTAGGGTGCCTGGACCAGCAAAATAAACATTCCCTAAATCCCTAGAAGATTCTCAGGGATTTGGGAAAGCACTAACATCAAGAACAGTTAACATAATAGGTTTGGTAAAATCTGCCAGTTTTAATTGACTGGGTGACAAGGACAAACCTTGCTGATCTCAGAAAGTCAAGCAAAAGCATATGGGGCTCTCACTCACTGTGTCTCAAGACCCATGTCACAGAGTGGTGGGAAATACTGTTGTGATTCTCAGAGAACCCAAACCAAAACTGCCAACATCAGCCCCAGAACTTACGTACAGCGCTCCACCCCTGATAAGTAGGTTCACTGTGATAAAGTATTCAAGACTGTACTAATTACCTGAAAAAGTCTCACTTAAATTGGCATCTAAACGTTCCATGTGCTAAAAGTGTCTCCTTATTTCATATTGCTTAATGAAAACAATCCTGAAAGTTGGCTTTAAAAGATTTCTACAAGGTTGGTAAGATGGCCCAGTGGGTGAAGGGGCTTACTGCCAACCCTGGCAATCTGAACACCATCCCTGGAACACACATGGTAGAAAATAAGAATGGGACATACTCAATAGGAGCAAGCACTAAGAGAGACACAGAATAAGTAAATGTACAGATAAATGTAGAGAGTTTCTACAATCTACTCTCATCTGATACACACTAGAAGAACTGCGAAGTCAAATATTATGACCAGTGTATGTCTTGCATAAATTGAAGCTGATTTTACTGCCTTCAGCGCCTTGCACAGGGGGGGAGATTAACCTTCCTGAATTCCCTTCCCAAATCCTGCATGTTATCCACAAGTCACAACTACATAGATCCCAGTCATCACTAAAGCCAAGTTCACTTAATCAAAGGGAACTCAGTGAACAAGGGGAGGAACTTAGACGGGCAATGAGAAAAACTGTCTCCACAATCCAGCATAACTGAGCCTAACGGAGTAGCATCCCCAAAGACTGCCTCACCAGAGTGCTGACTCCCATAGGAGTTGATGACAGCTCAGATGCAGTCGCACTTCTGTTGTCTTTTGCTAGGAGAAGTCTACCTCAGCCTCCTGTGTGCTGGGATTACAGGCATGCACCTCCACACCCAAAGTAGGCAGTGCTAGGGACTGAACCTGGGTCTTCCTGCTTACCAGGCAAGCCCTCTGCCAACTACTACATCCTCCGGCTAGTACTTTAAGTTTTCTTTTGCATTTATTCGGTGTGTGTGTGTGTGTGTGTGTGTGTGTGTGTGTGTGTGTGTGTGTGTGTGTGGAAGAGAATGGGGTCCTATGCCATAGTACACGTGTTACAGTGCGAGCGACACCTGCAGGAGTCAGGTCTCTCTCTACCATGTGGATTCTGAAAATCAGACTTGAGTCATGGACTTAGTGCCTTTACCCACTAAGCCCTCTCACAGGCCCCCACCTCCAGCCTCTCTGATTATTGCTTTATTGTAAAAGAAGACAACTGCAAATGTACCATAAGGAGGAGCACCAAGTACAAGCCTGTGGTGGCCCCACCACTGAAGATGTTCCATTTGAAAGGATGCAGTGCCTGCCCAGCCCATTAGTGTATCAGAAAATGAAGAGTTCTCCCAGTCCGAAAACTCACTATACCAAGTTCTCACCATTTTTACCGTGGCTCTGCTAGGCAGGCAAGGTTGGCTCAGTCCCTGACATTGTTGGATAGTTTCCTTCCTCCTTCCCTTGCTCCAGACTTGGATGTCTATAACTTAGCTCAGAGCCTGTGGTTTATGTTTTTTGATTAGTCAGTTCCATTCTGAGTCATTCTGTTCACACAAACTGTAACACCTGCCCCCCACCAAGAGTCATCGATTAGCATAAATCAGTATGTAGGAGATGAGTCGCCCGCCATGATAAAACAAAGAATCTCCACCCTCTGAAGAAGTTCAGAAACAAAAAGGCCTCCCAGGAACCAGATCTGTCAAAACCCTCAACATGATTGTTCCTGCAAACATTTCCTTTTTTGAATTAATTTTAAAAAACCCTCCTGAATAAACATTGTGTATTACACATATTCCCCGATCCATGCTGCTCCTACACTACCTTAATTTACCCCCCGAACACTCACAGGGAGTTTGCTTAACATGGTATTCTTCAGCTGCAAGCATTTCCCTGCAAATGGCAAAACTCCGTTCTTCTTTATGGCTGACAAGTATCCCGTTCTGTACATACATCACATTTTCTTTATCCATTCCCTGTTGTACACCTAGCTTGTTGACATAACTTGGCTATTGTAAGCCTGCAATAAGAAGAGATGTGCAAGTGTCTCTGTTACGTGTTGATTTGGAGTCCTTTTGGTGAATGCTCAGGAGTGATATAGCTAGGTCACACAGTTGATCTATTTTTAGTGTTCTGAGAAACCTCCAGACTGGTCTCCACTGAGAGTGGAATCATTTATCATCCCACCAGCAGTGTAAAGGTTTCCCTGCTTCCCACTGTGGTGATTTGAATAAGAATGGCCCCCGTAGGCTTGTATATCAGTTATCACGGAATGGCACTATTTGAGATGGATTGGGAGGTGTGGTCTTGTTGGAGGAAGGTTGTTGCTGGGAGTCGGCTTTGATGTTTCAAAATCCCACTAAAGGTCAGCGCCTCTCTTGTAGCCTTTAGATTAGTGTGTAGCTCTCAGCTACTGCTCCAGCACCATCTGTGACACCATGCTTCCCACCATGAGGATAATGGACATGGTGATTTGAATAGGAATGGCCCCTATAGACTCATGTGTTTGAGTGCTTGGCCTATAGGAACTGGCATTATTAGAGGGTATAGCCTCGATGGGAGAAGTGTAGCCTTGTTGACAGAAGTGTGTCACTGTGGAGGTGGGCTTTGAGGTGTGTATATGCTCGCTATGCCCACTGTGGTGCACAGTTGCTTCTGCTGCCTGCAGATCAAGATGTAGAGCTCTCAGCTCCTTCTCCAGCACCGTGTCTGCCTGCGTGCCGCCATGAAGATAACGGACTAGCTCTCTGAAACTTTAAGCCAGCCCTGTAACATGTAGTCTTCCCGCCAGGCCCCTGGGTCCCGCTGCTCTCTCAGCCCCAAAATAACACACAAGACACTGAATTAATTATGAAGCTGTCGGCCGTTTGCTTTGATTTCTTATCGGCTAGCTCTGACTTAATTATTAACCCATAATTCTAATCTAAGTATTTCCATGTGGTCTTCTCTTACCAGAGAAAGAGTCCAGACCTCTTACTTCTACCGCATCCTACATCATGACTGACTGTGCCTCTGCTTCCCAGAGTCCTCCTCAACTCCTAGTCCCACCTATCTTCCTTCCCTATTGGCCAGCAGTGCTTTATTCATTAACCAAAGAGAGACATATACACAGAAGGACTTCCCACATCACAGCCCCAATTAAATGTTTTCCTTTATAAGAGTAGCTGTGGTCATGGTGTTTCCTCCACAATAGAAACCCTCACTAAGACAATGGCCGAGACCTCTGGAACCTTACTTGAGTTCTCAATTAAATGCTTTCTTGTATAAGAGTTCCGTGGTCATGGAGTTGTTTCATAGCAATACTACAGTGACTGAGACACCCACATCCTCACTTACAGTGTGTGTTGTTGGTTCTCAGTGACTAACATTTAGATGAGGGTAACAGATGGAATCTCAACAGAGTTTAGATTTGCGCTTCTTCAGTGGTCAGTGGGGTTAAATGTTTCTTCGTGTGTTTCTCAGTCATTTGTAGTTCATGTTTTTGCAAACTGTTTATTTCATTAGCCCGGTTTTGATTGGATTATTTCTTTTCTTGTTTTTTTGTTTGTTTGTTTGTTTTTTAACTCTTTGCAAATTCTGGCCATCAATCTACTCTCAGATGTATAGCTGCTAAACCTCTCCCACTCTATAGGCTGCCTCTTTTTTTTTCTTTTAATTTATTTATTGTGTATACAGTCTTCTGCTTGCATGCCAGCAGAGGGTACCAGATCTTATTCAATGTGGTTGTGAGCCACTGTGTGGTTGCTGGGAATTGAACTCAGGACCTTGGGAAGAGCAGCCAGTGCTCTTAACCACTGAGCCATCTTTATTCATTTAACTGCTTCCTTCCTGCCGAAAG